GATCCTGGATAGAGAGGGAGAACAAGGTGGAACAAAACTCAAAATCAGTTGGGAAAAAAAAAGGGGGGGGGGACCAGGTTTGCGGGTCTGATAGAGCTTGGTGGAACCACTGAGACTATGGCCCCTAGCTGCCCTTCAGGTCTGGAATTGAACCCACACCTATGGCTTCCAGCCAAACAAAAGACAGGCATATGAGTTGAACGTTTACCTGAGGTAGATACACTCCTTGGAGAAAACAATCATGGCAGAAAGTAGGGCTATTTATGTACAGGGAGACAGCTCAGGGGGCAGGAGTGCATGGAGGGATAGACACATGGGAGGAAGTGGGAGGGGAGCTGTTGTATTGGGGTAAATGGTAGTTGATGTCATGACACAAAGTATATGTGAACTGCTGTATGGAAAGTGAATTTGATCTGTAAACTTTCACCCAAATCACAATTAAAAAAATAAAAAATAAAAAAAGGTTGATGAATGAGGATTGTAAATCATTGAGAGTCCTGATATGGGACCCTCGGTACAGATAAATCAAAAAACCAAATACACTGCCATGGAGTCGTAGATTGCCCAGTCTTCCTTCCAAGGAATGGCTGGTGGGTTTGAACTGCCTGCCTTGTGGTTAGCAGTCAAATGCCTTAGGCACTATGCCACCAGAGCTCCTAGAGTACAAATCAGTACAAATGGAGGACTTAATCTATCCAGGAGGACATTGATAACAGTATCTAGAACAAACTATGGAACCTTTGGTGCCATGGACTCCTAAGGCATTTCTGAATAAGCTTTAGAAGGTCTGTACCACCACTGGTTGCTGTCCAGTTGATTCTGATTCATGGGGACCCCATGTGTGTCAGAATAGAACTGTGCTCCATAGAGTTTTCAATGGCTGATATTTTGAAAGTAGATCACCAGGCCTTTCTTCCAAGGTACCTGTGGGTGAACCACCAACCTTTCGGTTAGCAGCCCAACATGTTTCCTGCTGCAGAAGGGCCATGGAACCCCCCAAATTGCTTACCAAACTTACATATCAGTGAATTTTCCAGCACTTTCTTCCCCCCTCTGGAGAAGTCCATGGCTTTGTAGAGTCTCAGAGTACTCTGTTAGTTGCTGTTGAGTCAATTCTGACTCATCGTGTCCTCGTGTGTGCGGAGTAGAACTGCTCCATAGAGTCTTCAAGACTTTTGGAAGCAGATCACCAGGCCTGTCTTACGAGGCACCACTGGGTAGGTTTGAACTGTCAACCTTTCAGCTAGTAGTTGGGTGCTTAACTGTTTGCATCACCCATGAACTCCTCAAAGGACTCTAACTCCAAAACATGTTAAGAAACACTCCTCTTGAACAAGAAAGGTGATATCATGCACCACAAATTCTCCTAGATCTTTTCTCTGATCTCTTGGCTTTCTACCTAACCTCTCCTTTTCAAGATGAGGCCTCAGTCAGCCACTCCATATGCATTGTGTTGCAGGGATCTTTAGCAACACACAAGGAAAAGATGACAATCCCTGGACAAAAGAAGGGGCAACTGTTGGCAAGGGCATCTGTTGGCCCAGGCTGCTGTGGGGACAGGGAGCACATGGACCCTAGAACCATGATTCCGGTCTGAAATGAATCTAGAGGGAAATCTTTGGACACTTCCTGAAACTGGAAAAACTGTCATTTCAAAGTCACATGTAGTTTTCTGTCTTGCAAATGGTGGTGATGTGATACTCTTTGGAGGAGGCCACACCTTAGTTCTGGAAGATCACTCAAATGGGCAGTGTAGTTTTGCAAATGTGAAACAAAGACCACAAAAGCAATGGAAATACCAGAGCCACCTGTGGCCCCCCAGGAGCTAAATTGCTCTGCCTGGTGTGGTCATGTGACAGTTTACTTGTGCTACATTGTAGGCAGCAGAGGTGCTGCTCTGTAACCAATTTCCTTGGGGGGAAAACTTAATTTTTTTTTTTAAAGAGAGATTTGGTTTGTTCTGAGCTACAAATGGTGGCTAGTTCTTGTGGGAATGTGTTCTCAGAAAAGTTGCTATTTGAGAAGGAAGGGCTGCTTATGCACAGGGAGATAGCTCAGGGTGCAGAAGAGTATGAAGGGATGGACACTGGGAGGAGGTAACTATGGGGAGGAAGGGGGAGGGGAGCTGATGCATTGTAAATTTTGGTCAATGACATGAGACAAAGT